TTTTCTGACCTAAAACTATTAGTGTCATGAAGCCACAGAATTAATTTAAGCAAAATATTTGTAAAAGAAAAATTCATTTAAGTATATGAAAATTTTACCTATGTTTCATTAGAGAGGATAGATTACATTAATGCTTATTTTTAAACATAAAAGTAGAATTGGGTATGCTCTGAGAATTCCCTTTTAACTCGCACCCTAAAGATGTGAGTTAAGGGCAGCAAAAGGAGTCTCCTGTTTACTGTGGAAACCCTGATCATCACTTCTTTAAGGCCTTATCTTAATGAGTATTTTGTTAACTTACTTTGTTTTAGTAAGAGTAGTTTATAGAATGCATAATAGTTGCATTGTGAAGTGTCAGAATTTAGAATTTTTAGAATTAAAATTCCTCGAGAATTTCACTCATGAGTACTGTATTAAGACCATTTCCCACCCTCCTCCTTCCTGATCCAGATTCTCCTATGTTTCCAGAACTTCATCTCAAATCCAATGTTCTTCTACATTATTATTGTTGTATTCATACACAAAACAATTGCATTTATAAATGCAACATATGATTCCATTTAGTGTTACTCATACGTGTATTATTTAGGGCAGACACTTGTGATAAGAAAGCAAACGATTTTCGCTCTTTCAGGAGTTGCTAACTGTAGGGTAAAAAAAAGTCAAAAGAAACCCACCCTGTCCCTGGAACCAGAGCCAGGTAAAGAAATCTACCCTGACCCTGAAACCAGAGCCAATTCTGCCCCCAATCAACTGTACACGAAGCCAATGAATCACTGAACAGAAAAACTGTCCAGTCTGAGCTTGTCCAAGCTTAAGGGTATTAAAATCTGACCAATACTCTTCCTAAAAATCTTCCTGGAAAAACTCTAACCCAAAGAAGTTCTAAATAAGCCCTTCTGCATGTTCAGCTTTTAGCTGTTTTTCTCCAACCTGGCAGACACAGCCACTCCCCTGAATTTCTTCTTCCCAAATGAATCTCTTGAAAGAGTTTTGGGTGCAGATCTTTTGCTGGTGCAGAGTAGAATCTTTGCTGGGAAGTTCCCTTAGGGGAGCAGAGCAGAAAAAGGAGCAAGAGACACCCCTGCTAGGATGCTCCATTAGGGAAGCAGAGTTTCGCTGGAGCTCATTGCTACATTTCTGCAGGGGTTTCCGGCTTAGCAGAGTGAATCAGAGGAAAGGGCAGAGCTGAGCAGAAATGGATACCTACCTTTGCTGGGAAGCTCCCTTAGGGGGAAGGAGCACAGCTCAGCTGTAATGGCACTCTCTTGCAGAGGAGCAGGATTGCCCCCCCCCCCCCCTCGCGCGCGCTTCTGACAAGTCAAGATACCTTTCCTTCCAGAGCTGTATGTATCCGGGATACTTTCCCTTTACAGATTCGGGTATAGCCCGACTTCCCCACACGTCAGGGTACCTTTCCCTCTAGAGCTCTAACACTTACATTAATTGCCTGTCTAGCTCTTCATCTTGGGGTGAAGCCTTTGAGATTTCCCCTATCAATGTGGACAAGTGTAGCTATCAGAATTTGAAAAATTTTATGCCTTTATATTTATATCTTAAAGAGTGAAAGTGTACATTTACTATATAAAAATCTAGTAAACACATGCTTTTAAATTCCTTTGGTACATAAGAAACGTTAACCTAACTCTTTTAAGTTTATATAAAACTTAAATCCTTACAATTCTAATTGTTAGCTTTGCAAGTTTATGGAAATAATTTTTACAATTTTAATGAAAGATATCCATTTTTCTAAAAAATTCCATAATTCCTAAAATCTAAACTGTAATTGATTAAAAAGTGATTGGTTAATTGCCATTTTCAGCTTGATGAAATTTACTATTGCCATGGAAACACACCTCTGGGCAGGTCTCTGAAGGTACTTCCAGAAAGGTTTAACTAAAAATAGGATAACGATGCTGTGGCTTCAAGTTCAGGACCAAATAAAATGAAGATAGCAAGCTGAGTACCAGCTGGAGCCCATTGCTTCTCACATCTCTCTTCCATGAGAGACTGTGAGGTGAAACCTGCATCCCCAGTTGCTTTTCAGGCAGATGTCAAAGGCATATGGAAAGTATCAATGCAGATAACTAATACTGAAGAGTGGGCCGATCACGGGGATACACCTGACCCACGTGGTTCCCAGAGGCTGTGGGGTTGGCTTCTGGGAAGAATGAAGAAGAGTTTGGGACTTCAGGCCAGAAAGTGTCTAGCGTGCCGAAGGTAGAGCCTAATCCACCATTCCAGTAGCTGTTAAACGTGAACACAGTGAAAAAAAAAAAAGCAAAACATGGAGGGCCAGCTCATGCGGTTTCAGAGAGCAAGGAATCTGAACAAGTAATGTTAGATTCTTGAAAAGAATCTGGCTGAGTTCTCCTTGTATTTCATGAATGGAAAAGAGATTTAATTTAAAATTAATGGACTAAAGCATCTGACAAAGGAAATTTCTCTTTAATGATTATAGATACTATCTTAGCTGTCACCTTGTCTATAGCTTCCAGTCCAACCACATTCCTGTCCTTAACAAATAATTTTCAGTTGAGATTATTGAGATGTTAGACAATAGGACCATACTGAGGGGAAGCTTTAGGCACAAAGTAGAGCCCATCCAAGAGAAGGAAAGTGTTCTGTAGGCAGCCATATGGTGATTGTGGATCTGCCCAGTTCCATTGACGTCCAGATGATCCCATCACTAGATATAAGGTTTTTTAAATTTATTTATTTCTTAATTAATTAAAGATTTCTGTCTCTTCCCCACTGCCGCCTCCCCTTTCCCTCCCCCTCCCCCAATCACGTCCCCCTCCTTCGTCAGACCAAAGAGCAATCCAAACTGCCTAGGCTCCCACAAAACCAATAGGTGCAGTAGGATCAAAAACCCAACTATTTCCATCCATTGCAGGCAAATGGATGGAAATAGTTATAAGGTTTAAAATCTCTTCGTAGCCAAGTATCCAAAAACTGAATCACATTTCTCATTCCAAGACTCTGTCCAAATTAACAATTTACCACAAACTAGAGCCTTGGAGAAGAGGAAACCACAACTGAGAAAATGTCTCTATAACGTCGACTTATAGGAAAGTCTCTGGGGGCAGTTTCTTGATTCATGATTGCTGTGGGAGGGTCCAGTTTGTTGTGTATTGTTTCCCGCTCTGGGCTGGTGGTCCTGGCAAGAAAGCAAACTTGACAAGACATTAGGAGCAAGCCAGTAAGCAATGTTCTTCTATGGCCTCTTCTGCAGTTCCTGTTTTTAGAGTCCTGCTTTAAGTTCCAATCCTGAGTTCCCTCCATGGGAAAAAAAAAAGCTATTTTTTACTCTCTAGGCTGTTTTTGATTATGATGTTTACCACAGCAACAGAAACCTAAATAAGACAGTGTTTCCAGAAATAATTCCCACTTTTGTAGCCTGTAACAGTTTGACCAACAAGATAAACAATGTGGGATTTGTATAATTAAAAGTAGAAGTAAATGTCTGTTGTCTTAAATTATAGAAATGATCTAGTGAATAAAGGTGTGTGTGTGTGTGTGTGTGTGTGTGTGTGTCTGTGTGTGTGCGCACTACACAAATTTGCAAATAGAAGAATACCAAATAGCTAAGTGGTATATTATTCTCTCAGGGAGATGGAACTTGACAATTCAGTAGTTAAGTGTTGAATGTACTTAAAGATTCACTTCCAAAGGCAGTGTAGATACACAGAAAAAGGAACACCCCATGTCACTGCAGTGAAGAAATCTGGCAAACTGCCTCTTCTATGTACCAAGGTTAAGATCATCAGCTTAAGTCTTGTTGACAGCAAGTACCTTTGAGGTATGTGTGTTACGTGTAGCACACATAATAAAGAGAAATTATGACATTTCTCCTCTGTTGGAGCCCTCCTGAAATCCCTAATTATAGTTTAACTACAGGAAGCAAGTCCTGCAGGGTCCTTTCCAACCACTACTTTTCAAGCAGTCAAAGGCATTACAATAAAGGAGAATTTCAGAAAGGTTTAAGTCCAGAGGAGGCTGAGGGACACAAGTGGCTGAGTGCAAGGTGATATTCTACATGGGGCATAAATGAGAACCAAAGAAACAGACTTTACTTCATGGTAATGTATTAACATTAAGCCATCATTTGTAGAGAACGTGAGCCTGAGTGTGGGGCACACTGCAGTTATCAGCACTGATCAACCACTAATCTGTGATGCTTATGGTGTTCTGATGAGTTTAGAATCCATTCACCTTCTGAGGACACTGATCTGCCATTTATTTTACCCTAGCATTCCATTAATGCCCATCAGCTGATTAGAGTTTATCTGCTACTTTTGAAAGTAAATATATTGGTATCTAGTGATAGTTGAGAAATGTGTACATTTGTATGTAATTAAGCAGGAGGTATTTTATGTTTGGATAATTATGTACAGTAAAGGATAAAATGACTTTAAAGATTGAATTTTAAATTTGGGGTGTGTAGGTAAAGCTATACCAGCAGATGTCTGTAATTATAAGATACGATTGATAAAACAGATTACCCTTGTAATAAATAATTGTTATGGGCATACAATAGTTGTTCATATTTTGGTCTATGACTAATATATATTCTGTAGTTTATAAGTAAAAGAATAAATTGCACAGGTTATAGATAAAAAAGACAAATTTTGAAGAAATTTCAGCTGAGAAAAATCCTCTCTCAAAGTAGAGCTGAACAGCTGTCAAAATATCTAAAGAGCATCCTTTAGAAATTATTCTGTAAGATGCACACTTCAGATGCTTTTTGTAGTGGATGATTAATAGTTGACTGTGTAATTGGCTTTTATCTAAAATAATGCCATCTTTCAGATAAAGTTCATGTTTAATGTTTTATAACTTAAAAGCATGGATTTGAGAGAGATTAATATTTTTGATATTTTGCAGTCATCTATTAAACATTACATTTTACTTAACATTTTAAATTCATTTACTATATAATGCACTTATAGTATAATGTATTATATCTAAATGCACATGTTTGCATTATTTGCTTTTAGATTTCTGGGCTTCAAGCAACACTGAAGAACATAGACATCAGACATATTCAGGTTCCTATAATCAAAGGTAAAAACATAATGTTATGAATGTCTAATGTCTTTGTCCTGATCTGGTGATATTTTAGTTTTATCTATGAACAACTTTCTAGATATGTTTAAGAGAAAATAAAGGTTATGGAAACAAGTTTATAAATAAACAAATCAATAGGAAATCCAGATATGACACCATAGAGTCTTATTCTAAACAAAAATATATTTTAGTTACTATAGAAAGACTTCTGGTCTGAGAATGATGAAATATCCTGGCGACCAACTAGCCTTCCTCCCACAGATGCCATTAGAACTAAAGGGTAAAGAAGGAAACAGAGTTTAGGCATTGGCAACTATACAGTACAATTTTCAAAAGATGAAATAGAGAAAAAAAATATAGTCAGCTCCATAGTCATCTATGGTATCATGTCTCAGAAAACTTCCAAACCAAACCACATGGAAACGGGAAGCTAGAACATGGCAGTCTTACTGAAATGAAAAGGGGAATATCATAGTTCAGAGCTGCTAAAACAATTCGAATCTGTAGAAAATGTCATAGAGAAGAATTGCAGTGAACAGTGGCTTCTTCTATGAGGGAGTTTAATATGAGTACCTAGTTGATGACATGGCATCTTGTATACCAGAGGTCTGCTTGAGTTCTGCAATAGAGGGAAATTTCTGTAGGATTAAGAAGAGACTAGAAATCTCCAGGTCAAGCCCTGATAGGAGCTATTGCAGGATAACTGTGCCTGGTGAACAGGCTTTATGTGTGTCTTTAATAGCAAATTAACCTTCACCATCCCATTCTTGTCCTAGAAAACCATGGACAAAATTCATGTAGTGTTTATAGTAGAATGAGTTTGGAGCTGGATTCTTACCAAGTTAGTGCATTGAAAAACTTAGGCCCTTATATAAATTTACCCAAAACACAATAAAATTAAGCCTTGAATTTCAAATTGATCAGTCAAAACTTAAACTTCTCTCTTAAATAAAAGCCATCACCCTTCAGATGAAGACGATTGTTGAGAATTTCTACAACATGTCATCTTCTGTCCAGTTCATAAGTAAACATTTGGATATATATAAATACATGACTCACAGTCAAGATAAGAAATAATAAATGGCGAGGCCGTAGTGGTGCACGCCTTTAATCCCAGTACTCAGTAGGCAGAGGCAGGTGGATCTCTGAGTTCGAGGTCAGTCTAATTTACAGAACAGTTTCCAGGACAGCCAGGGCTACACAGAGAAACCTTGTCTCAAAAACCCAAACCAAATTAAACCAAAATAAAACAACAACGACAACAAAACAGCAATAATAACAACAAAAATGAAACCAACCCTGAAATTCTTCCTGTATTGAATTTAACAAATGAAAAGAATGCTGAATGAGCATTTGTGAATATGTTCAAGGATAATTCACATATCAAAAGAAAAAGAAATCTCAGTGTGGGAGCTGTTACAGAGGACATCATATAGTGTACCCTTTTGTCTACATGTCTTTACTTGTAAGTGTTCATTGCAATGAGTCATTGGTTCAAGGCCTCTGGTTTCTTTACAGCTTCTATACTGGACTCTCCCTGGGACGCCTCTTGGATATCCTGTTGTTGCCTTAGGTCACAGAGATTCTGTAGCTTTGGATCTACAGATGCGGCCCCTTCACATGCTCTGGCAGTTCACCATTGAGGTGGATGTTGGGGTGGGCCAACTCAGTCCAGGTTTTGGGCCTGGGTGGTAGCTGGGTTGGTCATCACCCCAGTTTTTCCTCATTGACACCGCCACGACAAGCTCTCAGCATTGCCCAGGCTAGCTCACCCATCGCAGCACACAGCAAGGAGTAGGGCTAGCTCTCTTGCTCTCACACCCTCAGGACTGGCTCACCTGCACCCATGCCACCAGGGCCAGGTCTATTGTTTTTCCCAGGCAAGGGTCTGCTTTCCCGAGAGTCACATTTGATAAGGTGCAGGGTCAGCTCATCCATTCTTGTGCCCTGTGGTCCCTTCTCCAGCCTGCCACAGGCGACAAGGGGTGCAGGACGGAGGAGGGCATTTCTCTAGCCCACTCTTCCATATGGCAGATGAGGAATGGGGTCAGTTCTCTCACACATTTTCACCGAACCAGATCATCTGTGCCCTTGTTAAAAGGGTCAGCTGTATTGTGCTGCCCAGGCAAAGTCCGAGGTCTTGTCTCTCGAGTTCTGCAACTGGTGAGGCTCAAGGTCAGCTCTCCTACTCTTGTGACCTCGGACATCGTCCCAGCCTTATTTTTAAACCTTGCAATGAGGGCTCATCCATATATGATAAGAAATTAAGAATTTTAATAACTACACATCGATATGTTTGGTAAAATGAACATTATTAAACATGTCTTCAGACATTCATAGAGGAAATTATGCTGTTTTGCTCCTTACAGATGAACAGTATTCTTTATCATACTTCTTACTCAACACTCGAGGTACTCCCTATTCCATGTAGCAAGAATAATAAAACCACAGAGTCAGATTTGGGGGTTCAACTAAAAAACCAAAAAAGCAAAGCAACCTAGCCACTAGAGAAGTCTTACGCCTACCAAGGCTGGGCAACTGCAGACTAAGCAGCCTAAGCAGACAGAGCCTCTCTCTCATTCTAGTTTATGTTCCCTCTAGTGCTGGGATTAATGACTCCCTAGTACTGGGATTAAAGGTGTAAGGCATCACCACCTGGGTTTGTTTCTGTATTGATTTTGTGTAGCCCAGGGTGGCCTTGAACTCACAGAGATCCATCTGCTTCTTTCTCCCAAATCCTGAGATTAAAGGTGTGTCCCAGCACTGCCTGACCTCTAGTGGCTTAGCTTTGTCCTTCTGATCTTCAGGCAAGCTTTATTAATTAAACCATAAATAAAATATCACTATATTTCCCCTTTTTGTGTAAAATAAAAAAGCTATAACTAATTTGTGAAAAACTGTATACAGTAAATACAATGACTGTATGCAATATATACAGACAATAACTACATCAACAATGTCTAGTCTATTTGCATTTGATAAATTCAGAGAAAATACTTCATATCTATACTATCTTGGTGAGTCCAAAGTTTTGTGTCTAATTTACTTCCTATTATAACTTGCTTTCTGTTTCTGGTAAACAAGGAAAACTATAACTATGCCTATCTAGTCTTCAACTCCCTCAAAGACCTAAGAAGGAAGTAATATTAACAAAGTAAGCAGGAAGTGCAAGCAAGTGACTTCAAAAAAAATGTGAGAAAAGACAGAAACACCAAGCTGCCTAGGCAGTTACCCGAAGTTCCTCTGCAACATTGGGGCATCCATCTTCAGCCTACAGGCTGAGAATATTTGACAGACTTTTCTGTGAAGCAGAATATTCTGAAGGGCTGTTCCTCTTTGTTTTGACAATGTTTGGCAGTCATTTTCTTTTGTGTCCTGCTTGTCCAATTAGGACAGCATACTGTCAGCTGTTGAGGCAAGAGCATTCTCTTGCTCAGTGGCTTACATTTGCAACAAAAAAGTAAACTCCATGAGGAGTTTCTTCGATGCCCATTATCTTTGGGGGGGGGGGG